TGTTTCCCTTTCTGAGAAAGGATAGATCGCAGTACCCTGAGATAGAAGTTTCATGAACAACACCGCGCTTATTAGAAAAGATTGCAAAACCAACACGTTGAGAATCTTGACTATGCTGAGATTCTTCGGATGATTGTGTAAGGCTGTAAGCCTCTTCATCGAAAAGTGGATCGTAATCCATTCCCTGTAACACATCCTGAGGAATACCACTCTTACACGCACAATAACCTCTAGTCTATAATCTTTACCAAGCCACAAGGATAACTGAAATTATGGATTTGCTGATCCCAATAACGACCGGGGACCTGCTAAAAGAAAAGGAAGTCCTATCAGGCTAGAAGTGGCTAAATATATAAGAGAAAAATCCCCGCACAAACGACGATGGCCGATGGTGAATCAGGATAACATTCCAGTGTATTAACCCATTATAACCTTACCACAAAACGTGCTTCCTATGATGCTAAAGGTATTCTCAATTGTTGTCACGATCCCCTAATTAAGCAAACTCAGAACTGAGCAGCAATAGTTTAACAATATTAACAATGTTCTTAGATAGAATGCCTTCAAAGGGAAAAGAAATAAGCTCAAAAGTGAATGCTCTACAAATCACACAGAATACGTCGAAACTCTGATAGCAACTCACTTTTCATAGAAACAAGAGCGCTAATCACAGCAACAATACACTGAAAGCATCACATCAATGAGAGCTAAAAACGTAATACAAGGAAAAGCAACTAACCTTAGGTTAAGAGATGAGCGGTAGCGACAAATCAGCAAGAACTGCACACTAAAACCATCACATCAATGTGAAGAATAAAATCAAAAATGAAAGCAGAAAGTCAACGCGGAATGAATTCCGAAAAAAACGCATGAGCAGAGAAAACGGAAAAAGCAACACGCTTACCTTGCAGTGGAAGGGAAGGAAGCGACAAAAATATTCAACAGTAACTGAAACTGATGCAATCACACCAAAGGGCTTTGAAAAATGAATAATGAAAACATCTCACCCAATGGATGACACTGACAGCGGCCAGCGAAGCTCACATCAAAAGTGAAAAGCGCACTGAAACAATCATAGTAAACGAGCATTTAAAGTGAGTAATAAAAGCATACCTAGCGAGGGTAACTAACAGCAGCTAGCGAAACTAACACCAAACCAGAGGCGTACTGAAACAAGCACATTAAAATGGCTCTTGAAAAGAGAGGGTGAAAGCATCTCACCTAGCGGTGGGAGGTAATTGGGCCAACACGGTCAAATCAGGGAATCGCACTGAAACAAGCACTTTAAAACATGTTTTGAAAAGAAAAAGTGAAAGCATCTAACCTCGCAGGCGAAGATAGCAAGGTTACGACGACCAACTTCGCCAAAAAGTGCGTACTGAAACATTCAAATCAATACCATTCGAAAACAAAGTCGAAACAGACAAAAACAAATTCACGAATAATATCGTCATGTGTGAGCACTATCAACGAACTAAACGAAAAACGAAACCGTAGACAGTCCGAAATCCCTCCGTTGCGAAACCCTAACACGGTATTTTACGCTGAGATGCATGTTCTCAGCGTGGGATACCCCGGAATTATATTTCGAAAGCGAAATCCGCGATTTGGCTCTATGCCAAGCAGTTCGCGCCATCGGCACTCTGCTTGTCTGCATCCCCTGGGGAGCCCCGCGAGCATAGCATACGACCGCTTTCGGGGCGGCCGCAGCCGGGGAGCTCCCCCGAGCCCTTGTTGGGGGAGCATAGCATACGGCCCCTAAGATAATATTGTTTTACAATCATATAGCGTGGTTGTTTCACAGTTCTTCATGTTTTCGTGGTGTTTTGGCCTAATACGTCATTTTATTCAGCTGCCTTCCTGAATTCCTTGACTTTTCGACTTGCTCTTCATTTCGGTGTCTTTGCTGTGTTCCGTTTTTTGTCTGGAACTCACACTGACACTGTTTTGAAGGTTGCAGTCGTTCTGAATAGTGATTTTGTCAAGGTTTCACTGCACTCATCACGATTTTCCCTGCCACGTGAGTTTCATTTCTTATTTTTGATTGTTTCTTTTTTTATTCGATGCGTTCTTCACTTTGTCTTCTATGTGTTTCATCACTCACGTGGCAGGGAAAATCGTGATGAGTGCAGTGAAACCTTGACAAAATCACTATTCAGAACGACTGCAACCTTCAAAACAGTGTCAGTGTGAGTTCCAGACAAAAAACGGAACACAACAAAGACACCGAAATGAAGAGCAAGTCGAAAAGTCAAGGAATTCAGGAAGGCAGTTGAAGAAAATGACGTATTAGGCCAAAACACGACGAAAACATGAAGAACTGTGAAACAACCACGCTATATGATT